CTAATGTCACCTGTCTTAGCCATTAACCAGCTGCAAATGCATTTACAAAGTTTTTGTCATGTGTTACAGTTACCCCAAATCTCTAATTTTACCCTAGAACTGTGTTACAGAAAAACTAACATTTGGCTTCAGTTTCTGCTTAGCTAGAGATAAGTGCCAAATAGCTATTAGAGGAAAGAAAAGCAAACTTCACAGCCTTCACTTGAGTTAAGGGGAGCAACTGGCAATTTTTTATCTCTGCTATTTACAGGCAGAGATTTTTCTCTTTTTGAAACTTGGTACACATGTGTAAAACAGAAAAATAGACAGCTTTTATTCATGCCCATTTCTCAAAAAAATGGAAGAAAATGTGAAATTCTAAGAAAATGGCCAAAAAGGGTGTACCATAGAAATCTCCTCCTAGAGTTTTTAAGCTACAACATTGAGAGGCCAGGGTGGGGAGGGTGCAAGCAGCGTCGCGCTGTCGTGCATCAACAAGATATGGTTTTTTAACCCAAAGCGTCGCCAGCCATTTTCAAGATCTGTTGCTGGGTAATTTTTAATAAGAAAGTGCTGCAAGCAACTTTGATAGTATATCCCTTACTATCTACACACCGGCACTGCAACACTTACACACAACACAACTGATTTCTGAACAAGCTTCACAGCATCTTGATCTTTCTGGCGTACCAGAAACCTTACTGTGTGCGCTTGTGGCATTTCAGATTTCCAGTAATTTTGAAGTTATTTCTCATGTGCAATAATTTCAATCCAAGTGTGTCGGCAAGATATTCAGAAGGCATAAATTTTGATGCAGATGCGTCGCCAAATATCTTTCAATATTCACCCACTTTCTGCACCCTGGTATGAGAGGCATATCATTTGATGTGTAAGGACCATATATATCAATTCCTTGTAGCTTTTCTCAAAATTTGAGCAGAACAGCAGAAGCTCAACATTTCCAGAAGCAGAAGCTTGAATGTTAAGAAGTACATTTAAGCAGACATTTAAGTACATTTAAGCAGAAGCTTGAATGTACTTAACAGCAGAAGCTCAACAACCATCATTTCCTGGAAAGATGTACAGGGTGCGGCGTGGGAACTTACTCTTTTAAAAAAATCACAAAGTAAAAAGTATTAAAGATAGCGTTTTAATTCTTTCTTTTTTACAAAGAGCTACATTTAAAGTTTCGTTGGGTTTACTTACAAGTTTAATTCTTGAATATTACATCTTGTAGGTGACCTCCATGCTGTTCAATACATTTTGTCAGACGAGATCGGAAGTTTCGCTCCACCTTCTCAAGCATGTCTGGACCAATGTCAGCAATAGCAACGCGAATGTTGTTCTTCAGTTCAGCTAGGGTCCTCGGACGATTGGTGTACACTAAGGATTTCAAGTATCCCCACAAAAAATAATCGCAGGGGGCTAAGTCCGGCGAGCGCGCTGGCCACTGGAGATCGCCCCTTAACCCATTAATGACGAGAATTATTTACTGAATTTTTTGGGGGTTCCTCGTGAGAATATTATCATTTGTGATGGTAATAAACAAAAAATATGTTCATATATTTATTTTTCGTTGTATGTGAAAAATTATAGCTTGGTTCCATATGGAACCGCTCGGCATTAACATAACGTTTCTTCAAACAACACTTTTTCCGATAGTAAATCAAGCAAGGTTATTCATAATGGATAATATGTAATATACGTATTCATAATGGACAATACTGATGATGAACCAATCATGGCAGAATACAATTTAATTTTTAGCATAGAATGCTTCCATTCATTCAAAATGAATAGGAAGGTTGCCCATTTTACGAATGTTTGTGGGTGCGTTGTCAACATTGTTTACGAAGCACTGCATTTGCAGTGCTTCTGATGTCTCTTTGCTGGCCGATGTTGTTGATTGTTGTATTGCACTTTATCAAGGATCGAAGTAGAAGGGTGCACTATAGACCCTGATTGTTTTATTTAGGGTCTCCTGCATTATTGCATTTCCTAACAGATCTTTTTGAAAATTTATTGCAATAGCCATTCTTTTTTTTAAGTTTTTTGAGAAGCCAAATGAAACCAGAATAGATATCACATATAATATGTTCGCTTGGGACCAATAGTATCATGTTTATGGGACCAATCCATGTTCCAGCCCATGAATAAGTTTCTTTTTCTATTAGATCCGCCGATTAGCTTCAATTGCAGAAAAATATCATCTGATTTATCTGCTGCCCAAAGTTTATAACTAAATCTCACGGGCTAGCCACGTATATGTCGTAGTATAATGTGGCCATGTCGACCACAGTTGACTTTCTTCTCTGTCGATAGTCATTGTTATCACATTCGGTGATTACTGTTGCTACAATAACTATTCTCGATAGGCGAGCAGAATTGCTAGTGGCTGCGTCATCTGAGTTATCTGAATCTCAGTATGTTTCGCTTATTGCAGCTTCTGTGAAAGGTTCAGTAGCAAATATTTGATCTTCGTGTTATTCTTCTCTCGAAATCTCAATTATTTCATGTGATGATCTGCCAAAAAAACAATTAGAAATAAAGTGACTCGGGATGAACAATCGTATAGTGTTCAATGTACCTACTTCCAAATATTTCAACTTTCGGGATATATATTACTAACAGCTCTAAAGATAATGGTTCACTAATAAATAACAGAAAAACTTAGATCTAAGATCTAAATAAATAATTTTTAAGTACAAACAAGTTTTTGAAATACAATGCGTAACTATATCACATAGTAATCTACTAGGAAAATGAGATGACCGGAATGCTTACACTACTGCCGAGCGGTACCATTTGGAACCAGACAAAATATTTCATGATCTATAAGACTTTAGAAACATTATATCACGTAATGCCATATACAGGATTAAAAGTACTCTCTTTATCGATAAAATTCTGCATCTAACTTATAAATAATATATTCTTAGAACGAACTACTTACCTTTCTCTGCAATGATGTCAAGCCCTTCTGTCTGACACCCGGTACTTACAATCTTTTAATGTTAACTGAGCAGAGAGTAGTCGGCGCAGCAGAACCAAACTTTGCCAGAACACGTCCAAGTTGTGTATCAAACCTACGCATCCACTAGTATATTGATTTGACCGTACAATTTTATTATGAATCCATTTTTTTCTGCTGGTTCCAAATGGAACCGCTCGGCATTAATGGGTTAAGGAGATCACGCGTTGTGGAAAGTGTTCGCGCAAGAGAGCCATTGAAGCGCGTGCTGTGTGAGCCGTGGCCCCATCTTGTTGAAACCACACATTTCTTACACCAAGTTCATCAAGTTTTGGAAGGAAAAACTCTTGAATCATCTGAATGTACCGTTCAGAAGTGACTGTAACTGCCCTATCGTTCTCTTCAAAAAACCATGGGCCTATGATGCCAGTCCTGGATAAGGCACACCAAACAGTCACTCGTTCTGCATGAAGGGGCTTCTCATGAAGTTCTCGGGGGTTCACACCACTCCAATATCGCATGTTTTGCTTATTCACACACCCTGACAGATGAAAATGTGCTTCATCACTAAAAAACACAAGTGCGTTGTTAGGCAAGTTTTCAACGATGGCTTCACATGCCCTTTGTCGTGAAACAAAATCACGTGGATTTAGTTTTTGCACCACTGCCAGTTTGTAAGGGTGGAATTTTAAGTCTTGGTGCAGAATTCGCCTAACTGTGCGATCGGAAATTCTAAGCGCAGATGCATGTTTTCGTGCGGATCGCTTAGGTGATTGCAAAACCGCCTGCCTTACTCTCTCGACATTTTCTGGCGTCCTAGTGGTTTTGGAAGGACCTGGTTTTTGTTTCCACACACTGCCTGTATTCATAAAAGTATTCACCCACTGAACGATTGATGTACGACCAGGAACACGACCAGTGGGCGCGACATTAAACTGCCTCCTAAACGCACGCTGGGTTGCAACGATAGACCGGCCACTAGAAAAGTACACAGAGACTGCGAACGCGCGCTCCTCTCTCGACCACTGCATGGTCGCAACTGAACTGAGTGGACGAAAAACTTCATAGCCCGCGCACCATATTGCGCATGGCGCCACCTTCCTAGGACTAATGGCCGCCACGTGGCGCGCAATTCAAATAAGTAAGTTCCCGCGCCGCACCCTGTATTTGCAAACCTCAATATATATGGTTGAATCAAGATACATGACTTTAGAGCCATGAGATTTAATTCCCAGCAAATTGTGAAGTTGGAGCTGAAATATTTTAGAAAAATGTGTGATTATTCCAAAGCTGGGCTGGGCTGAGCTGGCAATTTGTATATGGTATTATTGGATGCATTTTGATTTTAGCAAGTATAAGTGTGCACCTCATCAAGATTTCTGTTGATAAAATGAGATTTTTATCAATCTTAACTTATTATTCTCAAGCAGGCATTGAGAAAACAATTTTCTTCTCATATTTAAGAATTCTGTTTATTTATGTGCATACATCATTACATGTCACTCAGTTTTAGGATGATTTTGCTTATCAATCAGGGTTTCCTTTCATGCATGGAGCTAAATGCATTATAAACTATGTAAACTTGATGTATCAAATGATATTCAGATTGTAACAAACCTTAAGTATCCCACAATGTAGTCTATCTTCTTAGAAAAACTTTTGATGCTCAAGAAATTAGAGAAAAACTCTATAAATAAATATTTTATGTTAGCATTGTGAAGAATATTTAGTCAACCTCTGTGTAAACTTTACTCTTATTATACAATAAATTGCAAGTAGATAGGTATATAGTGTCACTGTGAGTTATCAGTGTAGAGTAGTTATTGTTATAGCAAAAAACACTCCTTGTGTGATTAAGGTTTGTGCCTGGTAGGTAGTTGTTAGCAATGCCTTAGCAACCCCATTCAGTACAATAGTGTATATTTATATCCTTTTGCAAATGAATGATTGTACATTATTTATTATCAGTAAGGACATTGTTAAAATTATCATTGTGCCAAGCAGGTTGATTTGCAATCAATTCACTAATAAAATATTTTTCAATTTTTCCAGCTAGGTGATATTCATTAAACAATACAAAATGGGGAATGTAAACAAAGCAATGAGTGAAAGTGTCACAAGAAACCAAGAGTTTATGCTTGCCAGTCAAAGAGAACAGGTGAGCAAACATTAATTTCTTCAACTTCAGGTATATTAAAATCTAATCAAAGTTCTTAATTGTGTGAATTGTTTTATTAAAATGTTTCACTTGATTGACTTTAAATAATAAACTAAGTATTTTTCTAGGAATATTTTCACAATGTTTACTTGGTTTCACATTCACTAAGTTTCACTATGATTTAACAATGCCTTATATTTCAATGACATAAGCAGTATATAGTTCATTGTTTAATACTCAATTCATAGTTCAATTTATGTATGTACATTTTATAATGAAGATAAATTTCAATAACCATTGATTACTAGATTTTAAATTGTCACTTATATACTTACACAGCTGGAACGTCAAATCCACCTTCAAAATGAGATGAGGGAGAAAATGCTTGCTCTGCAAATAGCTCGGTCTCGAGAGATGCTCTACTGGTTTGGGGCCTTCTATATAATTGCTGGTGTTGGTATGATTGCTGGGTGAGTTATTATTACAGACACAAATATTATTTTTAAAGAAATATTGGTGAAATATATTTTGAGCAATTTATTTCTCATAGTTAATAATATGGTGTCTGGATAACCTTTTCACAAATCATCATTACATTGACTCTGTTGCAGGTATCGGAGATCTCGTAAGCCAGGCACTCTGGTCCCTCTACTGCCCCTCACCTTCATATTGGGCTACCAGACTGACATGTGCTATGGCTCTAAGCTGGCTAGACTCAAGAGTGAGTTCATGTGTTGTTGTGAGGATTTATTTCTCTACTCTTGTGTGTATTTTTGTAGACATAATTTATTGCTGCCAGGCTACTATCTATAAAGGAAAAAAATATTTCTGCTAATGGATATATGATAAAATTAATTAAACTATCTTCTTTAATATTCAACTATTTAAAATTAAGTTGAAATGCCAAAAGCATATTAAGTATTTAATTCATGAAATCAAATTCACAAGTTGTACAAATTTCCACACTAATCTTGATATATGTACCTAAATTGGGAAGTAGACAATTTGGCAGAATTGGGAAGTAGACAATTATTACAATTTGGTGGGTGATATTTCCTAGACATAAACCATCAATCACTGAGAAAAATATCTTCAGAATTAGAGATTGCCAAGTCCCTTTGCCATGGATGATTCTGCTGTAAATGTTTGCAATTCATCTTTGTTATAAATCATATAAAGACTTAGCAACCCAATTTGTTAGTGAATAACATAGATTGTTTGCAATCCAATTTGTTGAGGAATAAAATAAATACTTTGCATTCAAATTTGTTAGTGAATAACATAGACTGCTTACAATCCAATTTGTGAATAAATAATATAAAAACTTTGCAGTAAAATTTGTTAATAAATAACACAAGACAGTTACATTATTGTTTATTTACAGTGGAGGCTGAGAATATCCTGGGATTTGAGCGTGAGCTCGTTGCCCTGCCTGGAGGCCTGCCCACCCCAGCCTCCCTGGATGAAGCGAGGATGCGGCAGGAGGAGGCTCGACGGCTCAACAAGGTGCATGAGGTCTTCATTTAGATGCAATAGAGGCCCAAGCTTTATTTTACTTCTATTATTGCAAAGGCAAAAACCTATGCCTTCTTTTGTAGGTCACCAAACATTTGATCACGTTAGTTTGTTTCTCCCGCTTTCAAGGTGATTTGGCTTCTTATTACTTGGAGGCAGCCAATTTATCTATATTGCACTTGTGTATTATCTTATTATTTTTTATTCTAATATCTTTTTGTTATCACATTAATCTAACTTATTTAATTATGTTAGATAGTTTAGGTTCATTCTAATTCAGTAATAAAATAGTTTCACAGTAAATTATTTACAGATTAATCACTGACTCGTGATTATATTCAATTTTTTATGCCTCTTCTCATGCCTTCATTTGAAGTTGAGCAAGCACAGCCAACTTTCATATTATTATGATTTTAATGAAGATATTCACAATGTTGAGTCATGATACTTATATCAATTCCATCTCAATTCGCATTTTTGAGTACCAGTATTCTCTCAAGTTTTAACGTAATTCTCATTTTTCTTAGGACTTCGAAGAACTTCTGTTACTAATGTAAACAATGTTCCTTTACAAGATATTCTCAATGTAGTTAGGTGCTTTACCAGGATTATTCTAGTGCCGACACTACTGCTGTGCAGTGCTTCTGTCTCTAGACTTTTATAACGTAGCACCAATGGCGTCAAGTGTCGCTACAGTCATACTTGTTACGTCATGGTTGCCTGTTATCTGCAGTCAATTCTGTTTTCTGTTCTTGAAAATTTTGTGTTATTTCCTGCACTTTTCTTATCATTGATGGAATTATTTAGAATAGAAATGCACTTGCGTATTTTATCTTGGTATTGTAAATAGAATTATATGTTACATTCTATGGATATTATTCAGTGTAAATCGACTCACTGACAGAAGGTACAAGTTCAAAGAAGCGTCTGCTAATAGTGTATCTTGATTAGTGCCTGTTTGCATAATATTATTGAAGGAAGTTACTACATTTTCTCATTATTTTACATTTTAAAATACTTCTGTCTAATTTTAAGTATTAATTCAGTTAATTTTATAATTTATTCCCACGATGTACAAATCCCATCAAACTCTATTCAAAACCTTAAGTTGAAGTGTATTTTTTTTTTAAATAAGCCATAACGATTATGTTACTGCGAGGTTCAGCTCATGTGATTTGTAAAGGAGTTGAAGAGTTTCTTTCAAATACTTACTGGGCTGAATTCAAAACACCACAGATTATTCATTGTGGTTGAACGTAAATGTACGGAGAGGACATTATTTATTATTAAAGAATCGTTTAGCAGCTATGGCTGGCTGGCGACTGATGTTTAAGCTTATTTTTAACTTGAAATTGACTAGCTCTGTTAGCGGTTATGGCAAAAATTGTAGGGGTATCCTTCATTTATCTGCGTATCTGATGAAGAATGGCTCATTTTTGAAGCTAAATTTCTTACTATGCGCTTTATTCTATCGAGGCGAGATTGAGTCTTGGTATACGCGGCAGTGTTGACTACGCTTATTGCGTGAAAGTGTTATTTTAAGATACATTATTAATTTTGTTAAGTCATAAGTTACTGTTGCCGTGACTCTCAGATCTTCTCAAATGGACCGGATTACAAATGGAAAATCGGATACGTTTTGCAGGTCTTAATTCGACCTTCTGCTGATCCGCATATTGTACAAGATTTTACAGATCTTGATAAACACTTGGCTCAGTTTGTCTGGTATTTACGAATAATTGAAGGGCTATAAATTGTGAAGATTCTCGAGACGTGATCTTAGCCGCGCCTTGGATAACTTTTTACACTTGCGCGAACTTATATAAGTAACTCTTTGGTTGATACTGGTAAATAGCATCGCTCTTATGGTACCTGTTCATTGTCCAAATATGCTACTTGGCGATGTTCTGGATAAACTCTAGGCACATCGTATTACCTGTATGTGTGAAGACAGCCACGAGAACTACCTATCACTTGAGCATGTTGCTCTGAGTATCAGGGAAATGCATGAACGTGCTCGACGCCACTGAAAATGGTGTGTGTAGCGGTCTGGTAGTGGTTATAAAACCAGCGCTGTGCTCTCGATTGATTGCCTGAGATAAGATATCTCAATGGCTTAGGTTATATGGAGGACGCGTCATTCGGTAATTTATGAAATATCAAGCACTTAATTCTACCGTTTTGACCGGACGAGAATAGTTGTTGTCACCTTCGTACTAAAATTTGTTCTTGTCCACAATTGAATTAATTATAATTGTCATCTAGAATAAATGGCAATAAATGTAGTATCAGCTCCGGACTTTGGATTTAGATTGAAAACGCAAGTGAATCACTCATTTATGCGTTAAGATGCTGCCGTGTGACCATATCAGTTATACAGTAACCTTGCTCTTTAATAGCAACATTTTCGGAAGAGTTTTGGTTTTATCGCTGTCATTTTCTTGACTAATCCGTTGATCTATGGGTAACTGTGTTTAAGAGCGTTTCAGCACATAAAATTTAGTTTATATTTCCACTAGCTTTTAATTTTACTCTTTGAACTTGATGAAATGCTCATTTTCTCGGAATTCATTAAGAAAAGTTTATGTTGTTCAGGATTTTGGAGTGGCATCGCCGATGTGACTACCGAAACTTTTGACAGAGCCCCACCCATCGTTTCGCAGGTAGACTGCCACTTGAAGTGTGTGAGCTTATTCCCCTGCTTATATAAACCCATATCTAGAGTGCCGTAAACCTTCGAGAAAGAACTTGTTTGAATTCATTCTATCATTTCTTGCTTTTTTGTGGAATTACGTTTGATTTGTGGGGTGTCCTAGCCATTTCTTCGCAGAGACAGGATGGCTTAAAAATGATGATGCAAGCTATCCTGGAAAGTGAACGAAATAACATGCATAGTTGTTGTTTTCTTTGCATGTGTTTACACGAGTTGATTTATGTGTAGGTACATGTCTTCGTCATGTTCGACTGCATGTTTTTTTTATCAATGAAAACTGATAACTAGACAGTTTTTTATGTGTGTTTTAGTGGGGTCTATTCTGTGGTCTGCTCTTTATCTTCAACTTCCGTTGATTTCTTTGCATTGATTATGAAAAATTTTCTTGGTTGAAAGATGCATTCAATTGTCCCTGATCGTCATATGCTAATTGTCTCGTCCACATTCAAGATTTTTTACGTAGACAATTTAACAATTTTTGTGACTTTTAAAATTATATTTAGTTTCACAGTGAAATGGAAGTAATGAGTTGTTTGTATTCTGTCCAGTTAAAAAATACTTGCTGGTTTACTAAGTTGCTGTAAAATTATCTGCCGTGTATTGTGTGCCCAGTGCTCATTGCTCATCAGGTCTTCTATACTAAGCTAAATGATTCGTAGAAGATATCATTCATTAAGTGAAGATTCATACCGTGTTGGTTGTTCGTGGAGAGGATCATTTTGTGAAGTCACGGAAAGAGAGACGTGGTGGAGTACTTTTTTTACTTAAGCAGAGTGTCTGGCGCATGAACCCGCGTTGGTCAAAGTTCAACCTCCATTTTACTCTATGTAAATAAATGCATGTTGGATTTTCTCTTTTCAGTGCTTCAATTAATCACAAGACATCATAATTGATTGTTAAGCGTACCTGAAAGCTCACTTTTGACTCATTTTGAGCACCGTGTGATCGTCATGTGTACCGTGGTTGCGAGAGATGCTCGGTGCGATGTTTTTATGTGAAATGTTTTTGATGTTGTAACTCTAGTATGAATTCGAAGTCGAATTCACGAATATCAGCGTTGATGGCATTGCGCGTAAGGAATTTCCGTACTTTATGGTAAATGTACTAACGTCACTGTTTTCACGCGGAGTCTACGCACGTCTTTTTCTGTAGTTCTTCACTTCGCTGGTACTTGCTGAACTTTTACTTTCAACCTGTTGGGATAATGTTGGTTTATTAAGCAAAAAATATTTTTCTTTCACTAGATTAGGGGAGGATGTATTGCTTCAAGGTATATGCTGTTATTCTGTCCTTTTTTAGATGCAACACAATAGCAATTGTTAAGCAAGGTTACGTTCACTTGTAGAAGAAACGGGATAATTCTCAAAGCAAAATGAAGTGTAAAAAGAATCTAAACGTAATTTGACTCGCTTAATCTCCTCTGAACGTGGGTAAACCAGCAATAATGTTCGAATTATATTAATCGTAAGTTATCTTATTCTGAAGATGCCATGCACCAAAATTGTAGCGTTCAAAAAAATTTTTTGCAATGGTAACTACATTACAGCGACACTTGTGGCTCGACAGCATATGATGTGCCTGTAGTTACCTCGCCGCATATCTGTAGGTTTATTAGTGGTTTATTGTCTTTATGTGTCTTGTATGTGTCAGTGGTTTATTGTCTTTATGTGTCTTGTATGTGTCTAGATGTGACTTGTTTATTGTCTTGATGTGACTAGTGTTCGGTCTCAAAGTGAGACGTGCAAAGAAATCTTCCAGCAACCGATCTGATGTGCCTCGTTCTCGGCTGCTCGGCTTGGCCTTCAAACTATGATAGCCGAAGCCCAATTGAGACAAGCTAGAGATGTATTGGCTTGATTCGAGCATTACGTGACATGATACAAGATTCATACATTCATTGTCACTTGTTTGAAAATGGTGGCATTAAAAAAACTTGATTCATGTATACTCAAAGATGTCAATCGTTCAGAAGTTAAGAAGCTGCTCAAGAAATAAGGTCTCTAGTTTGCTATTTCATCTCGTATAACAAGAAAACACGGTAAAAAGTTTGCTCACTAGTTGCTACGATGCGGTTCCACCTTTGTGCTCTACCAACAGCACAAAATGCCACTGCAAACCTCTTCTTTCCGCTTACCGAGAGCACAATTCTCTGGTTCCTTAAATGGTAACTTGATCGTGAAAGGGAAAACCATCCACAGGAGAAATATTAAATTTCTTCCCGCATAGATGTTAGCTGATGACGATAAGATGTTACGAATTTATATGGTATGTAAAATTTGGTGGCGTTTTGAATACCGTTTGGTGGTTTGATTTAAAAGCTCCGGAACAAAAAAAAAAAAAAATTAGAAGTTGCAGTGATTCCTATCATAATGTAGTTTGTGTCTCGTTTAGTATAAGATCGTTGTTGCATTATTGAGCAGTATTTTCGTGTAAAGTTGTTTAGTATACTATAAGGTAGTTGTTTGTAAGCGTGACGTAGCAATGGCGAAGAAGATGTGGTATTTCGTTGGATTCCATGGAAAGTGTACATGCTTATAATGGCTAGTCTGATGCACCAGTCTCTAAATAGTGATTGTTTTAGATCTTTTTCTTCCATTCTTGGAAGAGGCTGTCAAACGACCGCATTGGCGTTACTTAAACACCTTACTAATAATAAAGCCAGTTAAGATATTTCTCGAACAAACTATGGCGTCACGACTCTAGTCACAGATTCATTCCTTACTAATAATATATTAGATGTGTTACTGTTGTAGATAATAGATCACATCTTCACTGTACCTTAATTCCCACTCCCACTGATTTGTTGCCATGGTTATTGAGGCAGAACTACAGAAGCACCTCTGAATGGAGTTAGGTGGATACCGTGGGCTGTGGTTTTTAATTCTCGCTTTGTTAAATAGCTTTATTTGACTTTTTACTGCCGCTAACGAAAATCAAATTGTTCATTGCTAATATTATTTGAACCTAAGTGTTCAATGGACGCTTTAATGTCAATGAAGGCGAGTCGTATTACAATGTCATTCCTACCAGAGCTGGTGATGCGTCAAGCGGTGAGTGGCCATATGTTTCGCTGATAATTTAATACCGTGTTACCCCAAAAGTCGACTTTTATCCGTTTCAGAAGGCGCATCGATTTCCGAATCGAATTGCTTGTAATCACGTGAAACGTGCTGAAAAACATGTAAACGTTCTTGCATCAACTCAATAGCACAGCAGACTGAAGCAAACAGACGATTGTTTAGCTCGCTGTGCAGCGTTTGTTTGTAAATGTTGACTCACATCAACTTCAGCGTCACAATTATGCCAAAAATTTGCGTCGAATTCTCATACGTCAAGTTCTGACAAGGCCAACTTTCTGGGCTCCACCGTTCGTTATAAGGATCTGCTGAGTTTAATTATCTTCTCTGTGATGATTTTATTTATTCCAATATACGTATGTAGTTTGCGAGTCTTGATTAGTTAACTCTTCGTTTTTATTTAATTTTTATCTGCATAAATTTGGCCATTTTTAATGGGCCCGATTTTTGTAAATGACTTCTTATTGCGTTTGTTGTGCGTTTCCAAACATTCTAGACTATCAACACCTTAAGGAAATACTTTTTTTCTCCCGACCATAGGTTTTTTTTAAAAAAGGTTATGAACGTGGAAGATTGCTGTAATAATTATGTACAAGTGTTAGTCGTAAATTTATGATCTTATTTGGTATGCCCCTCCGACTACTTGCAGGACTTTATTTGCAGCCTGTATGATATATTGATGTGCTTCAGTGGCTTACATATTGTATTCTTTTTCTCCATCAGAGGGTTGTTCTGCCCCACAGTCATCGGAACTTTTTAACCCTTATATGGAAAGTTGTTATGCAATTAGTTGATAATTATTGTTGAAATCTAAAGATGACAATGTCAGTGGAGAGTGTTAGCAGATTGTATTTCAGTCTATGTGTTGTATGTGATGTTATTGAATTTTCAGATTGTTTCAGTTTCATTATTCGCTGCCTGACAAACGCGCACCTCGAAGCAACTAACAGCATTCCACTACGCGATGCATCCTCCTATCTGGCATTGACTTTAGCGCGGAAAATGTGCACTAAAGTGTAAAGTTATTCCATAGTAGTATTGAGTTGCTTCTCGGGTGCTTGTTTTGTTAATAATTTTCTGTGCACCTTAAATTAGTATTTTTTAAGTTCAATAAACATCCATACAACACATATGCTTCTTATTGCCCTTGTGCCTGCGCTGTCCTGAGATTTTTATCCGGATTACTCAATTGATGTTTGCTCATTCAGGCAGCGTGTCAATGACGTAGAGTCGACTCAGCAGCTGTCGATTATACCGTAGATCTTTCTACAGGGATAACGTAAAACAAAATTTATTTAGGCCTATAAAATTTGGAGTCAGGTGATGCTGTCTTGAAGAAATGAATGGAAATCGTGTCAGAAGTCAATCTTTATTCTTGAAGCAACAAATCTATACACGTAATTCGTTGGCTGACGCTGAGGTAGGAAACGTTTCCTATTCAAGCTGAGTTACTCCGGCGAGTGAGTATTTCGTGTGGCACGCGTAGCGTTATCATTGTTTTTTATGTTACAAGCGATGGTGTCGCCACAAAATTGTCACTATGAACACGTGGTGTAGTTAATTACTTGCCTAAGTCAGTTTTGTGCAAATGATCTTGATTAATGATAAAAACCGTATTGAACAAAAATAATTGCTTCAAATATCGTATTTCATCTATTGCTAATAATATTTGAAAAATTACTGTAGCCGTAGAATTGCTTTGATGTTAGACTTCAATAAAAGAAATTATCTTAATGATGCAATTATTAGATGCTGATAATGAATTGTTTACCAACAATTGCGGGTAAGTTTCCACTGAATTCTGATAGCCCCAAATAGGCCTTCTGTTCAATGTATTGGTAAAACTTGCTATCCTCATCCATGATTAGTCTAAATGTTGGACCGAATTTAATAAATTCATATTTATTTAGGTATAAATTAAAAATGAGTAACATATGCACCAATGGAAAGTGAAAGATTATAAGTTTTTTTACATATGTACAAATGTTCAATAGTCTCTCTTGTGCTGCACGGCAAACATCTAAACGGTAGTCAAACTCACCCCATACGCGAGAAAGCATATCTTCTGTTACTCCCCACTTCTTTCCACCGAGATCACCTGATCTCGCCCCCATTTGACTATTCCCGCCTCTGCCAGAAACTCTGGTTGATCTGAAGAACCGTATCACTGCTACGGTACAGTCGGTAACAGAAGATATGCTTTCTCGTGTGTGGGACGAGTTTGGCTACCGGTCAGATGTTTGCCGTGCAGCACAAGACATATTAAAAATTTTAAAATATGTAAAAAATTGAATCTTTCTCTCTCCATTGGTGCACATATTTTGAATTAATACTTAAATAAGTACGAATTTATTAAATTGCGTTCATTATTTAGAGTAACCCGGTACATAGGTGCTGCTCAAGTTATTTGATGCCTTGGATAAATTTCACGACTATCGGGCTAGTCTGCACAATCTCGGTATTCATGCTATATTTTACAAAGGAACACTTGAATCTATCATGAATTTGATGTTAATGTTTCATAGATTATGCTTTTAAAATATTGTAAGTGTGATTGTACAATCTTGCTCCATAAATAAACGACACCTTAAAAACAACACTGGTGTGAGACTTAGATTAGAAGTGATCGATTTGATGCACTTAAATTAAAAAATATTGCGAATTGAAGTGCATTATGAGTTGCAAGTTAAAGCAATAGACCTTATGATTATGAAGCGATCACAATAAATACTTGTTTAAAAAAATTAACAATGTTTTAATCGATGTCAAGCTTTGTTCACTCGTTAAATACTAACTAATTTTAGTCATCGTTAACTAATTATTTTCTATTTTCGATCGAGCCAGCAAATCAGATTTTTGAAAAATATTTTTGCCTAGTCACTTCACTTCCTACTTTTATTCTACGAGCATCGCTCTTTACTAGGAGCAAAACTTTTGTACAAAGAGCAAAATTGTTCTCGTGTAAATGGATGAATGCATTAATCAAAGATTACGGGTTTACACAAGTTCCTCTTGTAAGTACTTATCCACCTTCTCAAACTGGCAAGATCATCTGTTAATTTGGATGTTTTGGAGAGTCTGTACACAACGAATTTTGATGAGCGTACCTACGTTTAGCATACCTATTTGGCAGAATGCCAATTGATGATCTTTTATTTCTATGCTAATCTCACTATTTGTATTTGCAGGCAATACTAGTCTAATATTTGTATTTTTAAATACTAATCTCAATATTTTTATTTGCAGGCAATGTATCAACACAAGAGTGGTCATTACTGAGCGATGCTTCCGTACTGGACGGTCATCCTGCCTCGTTCATGGAATTGTTACCGAAGAGCTCGTAGGGGTCAAAGCAGCGAACAAGACATAGCTTCTTGATGCCTCTTGTCTTCAGTCTTGCGCGAATTTATTTGTCACTCCCACCATTATATAAAGTATCCTTATTATATCAATTCAGATATAATTAAAGATGATCAAATGAATAAACTAGGCTTTTGTTTGTCAACGCTGGCCGGAGTCGCGCAGTGAAGTGGAGTTCATGACAGCATGCGCATCTGTTTACTGCACAAGGTACGATGTTTGGTATTGCTTGTTGAATTCAATAGTCAAAGTGTTTATTTGTATTGTGCCGTCGGCTTTTAAGCGTGGGTTTGAGCTTTATTATGCGGCGATGTAGCACTACCACTCCAGTTTCGAATCTTCGTCATCGTCGAATCATCGAGGCATGAATATTTTCTCTCTTATAAAACCTTTATTTTATTCTCGGACCAGGCGTGCTAGAATTCTTGATTTTTGGAGAATTGTTTCGTATTTTATTTTTATGTATATTATGATTGTTTACGGTTATGGTATCATATGCCAAGATAGTTATAATAATACTACTATAACAAATACTAGTGCAAAACTGCTGGCATTTAGCGGCATAACTCAGTGTGCAGGTCTGAGCTTGTATTTAGAAGCACGCACAAAAATTTAATACTCAGCGGTGCTATTGCCTTGATACTGAAGTAGCGTAAGATTAAAACAAAGTCAGCTTTTCAACCTAGCTCAACAGTAAAGTTCTTGAATCTTTTTTGAGATACAACAGGTTCGTGAATACTTTATCGTTTTGAAATCTGAAAAATTCTGTCAAATGCAGTTGACGGCCGTAGGCTTTTATTTGCATTTAAATTTCTTGATAAGCAGTCAGGTTTACGGTTTTTGTTTATTGCAGACTCTTGCGAAATGTTTCATTCATATGTTGCTGCATACAATCATTGCCATTCATTAGAAAACTTAACACTTATGTATTCATCTGCATGCACTCATTCACAACAATCACTCGCCTTCAAATTTTTCTCGTGGTATCAGTTTTTCTCATGTGAACAGAAACATTATTTTTTTTATTATGCTTATTATTATTAGATTACGTCCTCCTTGACCTATCTTAAAAACGTTCCTGTTGACTTTTTTCATTTTCGGCCAGAGTTCTGAAAAGCGTCGTTGAATGGTTGATGATTTAATTATAATGGTAAGTCAATTAGTAATTTTATTTTAGAGATACTCTTACTTGATAAATTGAATTTCTTTACGCATTGTAATTGTTTTTGTTTTTTTTTTGCCCAATATTATTGAACATTTACAATAGAGTTCTATTTGTCGATTCTTTCTGATGAATTTCGTGTTACGTGAAAAGCCACGTCAATGTTTAAATTTACCTTGGAAAGATTTGTAACAGCCCATGTACTGTTTTTTCATCACGATGTATTTTTTGAAAACCCTGCATTTTGTATTATCTATGATATGTGACAATTAAGTCTACTCTTGAGTAGTATTGCTTAGAGTACTCTTGGTACTCTAAGCTTATATGACAAGACGTTCTGGTTCATCTTCAATCATCTAGTAATTCCTTGTTCCTTGATGCATTTTGCAACGAACTGAAATAGAGTTAAAAAATAGAACTTTGCGGAATCAAAATTCACTGTCGAGCGTTATTATAATTAATATTAATTTAGAATACCCTTAGTCATCAGCTAGTTATGATACTATAAGTATTCCAAGACGGTCCCATTCGCAGGTTCATGGATTAGCTGTTTCGCACGTGGAGGCAGAGCTGGGCAGCGGTATATGTATAAGCGGCCGCTACCGCTTCAATTGCTTATATGTAGCGCCGCTACCGCTACTGAAAATGTAGCGGCCGCTACTGTTCACCTCTGTTAACAACTAACATGTTGACACTAGTAACAGGCTGAGGTTGACAACATTACACCGAAATCTTTCGTACAGTTTTATTCTGTAATAAATATTATGTATATATCATGCTGGTTTTTAAATAATATTTAATACTATTGGGTAAAATCTAAAGGCTTTATCTATAAATGTAGCGGTAGCGCTGTAGCGGCAAAACCTCGTATCGCTACTTAAATATGTAGCGTACCGCTTCAATTGCTTGAATGTAGCGCCGTTACCGCTACATGTAACGCGCTACTGCCCACCTCTGCGTAGAGGATTAGTTTTTCTCGCAGCCGCACATAAAAGAACTACACGACGCTAACGGTTCTAAAATAACAATAACTCCTTCAATCGTTTGGGTTCAGGCTCTAATTTCGATCCCATGCTTACCATTTGAAAGAGAGCCTTCTCTTTCATTAAGTAGGAACCAATAATTGTAAAGCATCTTTTGTCTCGCTTTACATTCCGGTCAAACATTAGATAAACTCGTCCTTCATTGCTAACGAATTTTAAGCAACAAAACTAATATAAATTTAAACGAAAACAGTGGCAATCTTCCCACATAGCACAGTTGAATTTAGCAAGTGGTCAAGATCAAGATACAATACACAAGGCTCTACAAATAACATGGGATTTGAACTTTTAATGGATACAATAGCTCCGAAGCGTCGACATTTGGAAGCAATGCAACTCAGGCAACAATTGATATCGTTGCAAATATTGATGAACCCAGCCTATGTATGCGGAGGAGGCATGCGGCCCGGTGCTGGACATTTTGCTAAGTTTGAGGAAATAAAAGTCAGAATACAACGATTATTAGCTATTGATGAACAACTTTATTTTGAAGTGAGCACATGATAAAAGAACAGGTTATGCAGAAAACGCTAAGGTTGGCTGAATCAGCCTAAATGGCGCCAGCTAGTTTCAGCGCCTCCTCCAGCTCATCCCATGTACGATCGAGGTGGAAGGAGCTGTGTCTCATCAGCATCTGCTCCACGTACAGCAGCACCATCCTAAAACTGAAGAAAAGTATTACAAGTGAGACTTTGACTTATCTGGAATTCATCCCAATCGAGATTTTCGTTTTTCATAAAACTGGCATTTCAGATCAAAAAATGTTTTTGTATAACAATTCTCAGATATTTTGATGCTTTGACAGAAAATAATTCTTTATAATGCAATTATTTGCTATAAATTAAAATTTTGTCGCCAAATTTACGTTTTGTAAAGGCTAATCTACTAATTGCATCCCGTAATTAATCCGAGAAAATTACTAGGCAACTCAGAAAGAACGGTCGAGGTATCGAATTATTCAACATAAATCTAGCAGACCCACCGAACACGAAGGTAACCACAATTGTCAAGTATTCAGTAGTTTCATCTGAAGGATGATACTTACGGTTTCAAGTTAGGTGGCGACTGCAGGAGTTCCTTGGACGGCTCAGTCGCCTCCAGCATATTGGAGGAACACGGATCGCGGTCGTCAACCCTGCAACAAAACACGAGCAACGACGTCAAGCAGCGCCACCAGAGACAGCAATAAACTGTACATGTCATCATCCCCGCGTGTTTTTATTCATGTGCTTTCATAATCTTGAAATTATAGAAGCTAATGTGAACAATTCCGATTATGTGAACAATTCCTTTTTGCTTACCGAGTTAATACTTGTGGCGTGGCTCCTAGGATAACGCTGAGAGGGTCAACAGAGGTTAGGATGCGATGGAAGACGTAGTCGGCAGCGATCATCTCCTGCAATGTCTTGTTATGGAAAGTAACACTGAAATGGTTTTCCTTAGATAGGGGTATCTTCAGTTTTATCAACCCAGCAAGGAGGTCTTCAAGGTGCCAATCTTCTTTAATATGCAGAACTCCTCTGCTTTCGGAGAAAGTGAGGACACTGTCGCGGAGTGATTTTAAGGCGGCAGTACCGATAAATTCAAATAGATCATCAACGAATTTTTTAACGAATTTTTTATCTCCGGAGTAATCCTGACGAGATGATATGATGCGTTTCCTGAACATTTCGAGAATGTTAAGCGCCACTTCCCCGGGTGTGTCCCATGAGGAGATGGCCTCAGGAGAGTCATTCATGATTTCGCAGAAAAGCATCATGGTTGTGGAATCAACGAAAACACTTGTAACCTCTTGATTCAGCAATGAGAAGGCTCCTCTCACACTATTTCCTTTCTTACTCAGAAATTCGAGTTGTTCAACAAATGAAGTGAAGGGCTTGACATGGCTCTCAATAGAATAGGTATCATTAAATGACAGGCTCTCTTTGCCAAAAGGACCAATGATTTCCTCAATCCCATCTTTGAGCTCATTTTCCTTCATTTCAACCTCGGTCAATGGGAGACTATAAAATCTGCCAGCTTCTCGTACCAGCTCTAGCAACGCGGTTGACAGCTCATCCAATTTCTGGTGGATCGTAGAAGGCGCCCAATAGTACATGATTTCATGTCGCATGTTCTCGACGACTTGCAACTTGTTGAAAAGTTCGGAGTCATTCCTCCTGGCATCATTTCGAAAAATATGCTCCAGCAGAACGAAAAGATCTGTGGAGTCTAAATCTTCTGCATTCTGCTCCGTTTCTAGAAAGTCTACATAGTTCGGCTTCGGAAATAAGTTGATCCATTCTTCATCACCGAAAGGACGTCCTTGCTTGCGTTCCATGTACTGTTTGTACGTCTCTTCGCTTTCTTTGTCAGAACATTCTTTGTTGACCACGAACTGCATCACCATCGAGCTCAGTTTACCGAAATAATAAATTACGCGGTTAACTGAAATGAGCATTTTGATGCCGTTGCGTTCTGATGAAGACATCAAGTCTTCAGCCTTGGCTGCGTCAGCCATCTTACAGGATCTGTAAAGCGAAGAAACACAATGACAACATCATATACAAAATAAACAGCAATAATAAACTTGAAGAAACACAATGACAATATCATATATACAAATAAACAGCAATATTAAACTTGAAGAAACACAATGACAGCATTATGTACAAAATTAACAGCAATATTCATGAGACACACGAGGAGCCTATCCACCAAATAGTTACAGAGGAGATGATACTTGAAAAGGTACGGCCAGGAAACGTGTAAATCAGAGCGACCCTCTCAGAGCTATAAACATGAGAGCTTCTCTCCAGGAACTGAAATTTAGCGCTACCTGTTCACTTACGTAAAATTAAACGCTTTTCGCCCAGACACACGGCTTCAACTGTTTTTCTGCCCAGACACACATCAATAAAAGAATTTTCACCAAGACAAACTAACTTCAACGGAAAAAGTGAACTCCGATAGTTTTCCCCCCCACCCACTACGACATATCCATCTCAGTAACAAAATGTGTAACCCAAACATCACAGTCTGTGAAGCATGACATAAAGAGATAATGTCTCTAACCTGAAGGACCATACCACAATATTAAAGAGTCACAAAAACAACAAGTTATGAGTTAAAGTCAAGGACTGCCAATGTCGAGTGTCTTAATCACTGCCTTTTCTGCACGGTTTTCTGCCCTCCAAATAATCTTCCGGACAATCAACAGAAAACATACCAACCCTGCCAGCTGGAATTCGCGTTATTAAATTTGATGTAAATTCTTTGTTCCTAGGAAAATTTCGGACGTTTAAATCATTAACGAATTATGAGGAGCGTCTGTGTCAAAAAAATTGAAAAATTTAGCTGAGCTTATATTAGGTTGCTGTGCACAAGACGCTTCTAATGCAGCCAATGTATGTGCCATGCAGCGTATGTATGTGCGTTCATCGGTATACACATGAGGCAGTTTCGACTAATAAAAATATTCATTTTTCACAATCGGTACAAATATTATTTTGAAATAATTTGTTGGTACGTCATCGTTCACTTCAAACTGGAAAAATATGAGTCACATAAAGCAAATGCTGGAAACAGGGAGTACATGTACAGTAGGTAGTAAGCTATTTTGTTAACCTCCACTCCATTGTAACCAGTTTCAATAGTTTGGCTTCACCGAACATTTAATTTAACTCTAGGCAGCGATGGTAATAATTTCAGGCTTTTGGGTTCAGTCACTTCTGAATACCTTGATTAAGCGATTACTGACGCAAATCAACCAAAAGCTACACCAAACTCTAGATATATGCTACTGACATTTTAAGCTGTTATAGTTATAATTCCTTCAGTTTGAGAGCTAAAATGATAAGAAATATATGGTTCAATTTAGTGCAAATATCTATCGACTCTAAAAGCCTTTTTTTATTCATTAATTATTTTCATAACATAGGCTAAAAATTGCGGGTAAAAAAACACCGCCAAAAATGTAGAAAATTAGGAGCTCTACAATCGATGGTCATTAGAGTTACAAATATGATGCAATTTTTCTATTTTAGCTTTGTAGCAATATGAGCTTAAAAATTTCTAGGAGTTCCCTATTTTCAGGTTTTTTACATATTCCGATTTGGGCATTTCTAAACAAACCACATAAAGATAATGTGCTTGTGCTAATGTTTTACATGTGAATATGAAGTTTCATAAATATCGGTCAATAAATGAAGGATTTTTTTACCTAGACGCTCCACTAAGAAACAATGAAAGCTGATATTGCGTAGATGTCTGATATTTCACGTCGCTCAAATCAATGACAACAAAATTCGTGTTAGTGGTCATCTATTTTTGTTGAAAAATTTTCGTCGACAACGAAGGAACTACCGGAGTCCTGCAGGCATAATCACTCCTCTGGAACTTGAACAAGACCCGAGAAATGATCTATAGCAGAATGAGTGATTCTCAATAAATGCTGTAATTTCTGTATGCTAATGTCCTATTGGAATGTCCTCTAAGCAGCTGATAAACTGCTGAACTACCGAGCTGAATTATAGCTGAACACCTAGGTAAATTATACCCAACTGAATTACTGCTTTTACTATCCTCCTATTTGCAGCAATGTATCATATTCCGACGCTTTCTTCCTACACACTGAGGCTGAATTACTGTTGCATTACCCATCTTAATAAACCACTTTCCCTGTATGCTGCATTCATCCATTTGCTTGGCAATATTTGTGATTTGAAAGATTGCCGGCAATAGTCACATTCTGACGCTCTCTTCCTTCACTCTGAGGCTAGTTAGGGCTCTTTAGGTTCTTATTTATGTTATCATGGAGGATAATCGTTTGATTAATATATCAGTATTCAGATATACAGTACCTATATATTTGCTGAAATATTAAACTCATTAGGATGCATTATTTTCTAGCTCCTGCTAGCTATTTTGATGCATTACATATCGCCCCCACTATCACCTCCCTCATCACCAGGCAGCGCCCCTCCATCCCCATCATCCAGAGGAAAGCTCCTCATGCAACTCAACTGATGAAATTGATAGGCAATACAAATGTAGAGAATAAGAGAAAGCTTAACGCATGAGTTAATTTAGTGTGTAGAATGTAAAAACCACGACTTAATATAACAGACAACAGCAACTATTAATCAAATATTATTTTTGAGCCCAGGAAAAGTTATTAGTAATTGCTATTATATTATTATTATAATAATTAATTTAAATATAATAATAATCATATTGTGAGGGTAGGAATCTAAACATTACACAAACATCTCACGATGATTCAAACATCTCATGATGATTCAAACATCTCACAATGATTCAAACTTCTCACAATGATTCAAACATCTCACAATGATTCAAACAATTCAAACATCTCACAAGGATTCAAGCATCTCACAATGATTGAATTGTGACCAGTTCATCTGCCAGCAAATGAGCAGTAAGTGAGCAAGGCACTGGATAAATTTGCTGCAATAGAATGGCAATCATCACCTGTCCATGTTCCTCAAAAATCTCAATTTCCTATCTATTCATGTTTCACCACAATCCTCGTAATAAACTATGGAACCCTTTGTTTCAAATTTATTTGTTGAAAATCAGAAAGCACAAACTTTAATTCCCAATCAATCAAGTAGTTGCAATTAACAAGTACAAGCTGATGATGAATTCATTACACCCACATAAAAATGGGCAAACTGCTACAATAATCTGAAAAAAAGGCAAGCAGAAATTACAATCATGGCAGTAGGAAATGAATTTTTTCACCAACTGAAATTACAATTCTTGAATTGAGACCCAAAAAGAGTACAAGTGGATGATGAATTGCAAAGCTCTTGTTCCTAATCCCTGCAGCCAAGTCTGGGTATACAAGCCTGCTTGCCACAGCTATGAGAGCCTTAAATTTTCCAGTCTAGCTGCATAACAATGAGAAAGCTACCATAGGTCATTTAAAATTCCCCAAAATCAACAAAATATATATACTAAAAGTCTATCCAATTGAATGGCTAATGCACCAGCTAGAAAGAAAGGTGACTAAATGCTGCAATGATCATACAGTAAGGAGAATTAAAGCAAAGTTAGAGTCATGTATCATAGAAGGCAGATAGTCTACCAATGCTGCACACAGGAACCACGTATCAAAGATCATAATTGAGCCATCATGAACAATTTAAAGCTAAATATTTAAATAAATTCTTAAAGTATTTACAGTTTAATGAATGACAACATTAAATGAGGCAAAAAAATCAGCATATTTGCTCAAATGACAGTACTATCTCATTGATGCAAAGGCAAACAAAGAATTTCCATGCATGTTTTTGAAGCAAAGTGGAAGACTTGGACACTGCTGACCGAGACTAAACACTTGGCATGCCCAGCTATAGAGAATTCAATGATGCATCACTGTACTCTGTAGCAAAAATCTTATTCTTACATTCGTTCCAGATGTCAGGTTTAGGCAGAACTATTGAATACATTTCCAACTCCCTCAACTTAATTAATAATACCCACCACCCTAGTTAGTGACCATCAGGAAACAAATTCATGACATTTTTGGCAGTAGAGGTGGTAAAATAGTTAAATGATTATGAAATAAAAGAGGCTAAAAGGATTTCTAAAATTTCCAACACCAATTAATGCTCATTACAAGCAAGTTGCCAATGATTTACAAGTCAACTTTACCACATTAACTTCATGAACTAAATTGGATACAAATTTAAGAACATGAACTAGGGATGTTTGGTCCTCTTACAGTTCACTTAACCGTTCAGTGGGCAAATTACCTTATTTGTGGCCATACTTTCAAAACTCGCTAAGTGAACGTAAGTACTTACGCTCTATTTTCTTGTCTATGATTGGTGGATTTGGCTTGAAAGGCCGTCAATGATTGGCTGATAAACATATGATCTCTTAACTTTTTTTGAAGTATGGGCCTTGGTCACTATCTCCTCCTAAAAAGACCCAAATAGCCTCTGGTTTGTATATGCGGCAACATTATCATGCCTCTGCCAATCACCAATCATCTGACCATTGTTATGAATAAAGATGGAGAAATTTGTATATAATAGATAAAAAATTTGAATTTATCACATTTCAATGGTTGCTGCAAAAGCATTGATAGATTTTGCTGGCAAGTATAGAAATATGCGGGAATTTTCATCAATTTATGACAGGAATAGTGGCAGAAGGCAATCTGGAATATTGTGCATACTATTCTGAAAATCATGGGTAAAATCTATTGTCTTATGGGCAAAAATGCAATGCTTATCTTTATCTTGTTCTTTATAGGCAAGAATTTAGGAAATGTTAATAAAAATGGTTAAATTGCCTGCAAGTATGGGAGCTTTTGCCTCATTCACAGGCAGCTTTTGCCTGATATTCTATAGTGGGGCAGAGGCATAACATAGCCTAAAATACAAACTAGGCTCCATTGTGGAACTGAGCAGTGACCAGGTCCAGGTAACCCACAGCCAAGGAGGAACTATGAGAGGCTCTGGAGGAACTATACCATATATTAACTTGCCTGCAAAAC